AGCGTGCATAGAACTTGTTGAGGGCATCAGGCAGAGATGGGTCTTTGGGGCATTGTTCACTCCTTCCTTTATAATCTGTTATGCACTTAATGCCCCTCCACATGCTCCGAGGGTCTTGTGAGATGAATTGACCCTCGATCCTCTGTGCATATGTGGCCTTGGCCCTCTTAATACCAGCAACCAGCTCTTTTCTTGTCCTACTCAGCTCCTCTGAGTTTCCAGACCTGAAGGCAGTGTTCCTGGCTTCCAGCAGGGTACACACCTCTGCATTCAGCCAAGGTTTTCTGTTTGGGTAGCTTTTAACATTTCTGATAGTGGAGACGGTGTCAGTACATGTACTAATGTAACCCAGTACTGAGGATGTGTATTGGTCAAGATCAAGCGAACCTCCATTTTCAGCAGCTTCTCTGAAAACCTGCCAGTCTGTTCGATCAAAACAATCTCTCAGTATGGGTCCACTGTCCTGGATCCAACATTTAACTTTCTTTTGTACCGGTCTGGAGCGTCTCAGCGGGGGCATGTAAGCAGGAGCCAGGAAGATTGAGATGTGGTCTGACAGTCCTAGGTGGGGGCGGGGTGCGGCTTTGTATGCATTTTTTACGTTCGTGTAAACACGGTCCAGCATCTTGTCTCCACGTGTCGGAATCATCACATGCTGATTAAAGCTTGGGAGACAGTCCTTTAGATTCACGTGGTTAAAGTCTCCGGCTACCACGTAAAGAGCCTCGGGGTGTTTGCTCTGCAGCGAGCTGATGATATCATGAAGCTCCTGCAGTGATTCATTAGCATTAGCGTCCAGAGGAATGTAAACGACTGTGATAAAAGTCACTGTGAACTCGCGGGGTAGATAATGTGGCCGACATTTCACTGTTATTTGCTCCAAAGCCTTTGAGCATGAGCTATTTACAACAGTACAGTTCGTGCACCAACTTTTACTCACGTAAATGCATACTCCGCCTCCCCGTGATTTCCCCGTTAGCTCGCTGCAGCGGTCCGCTCGAAAAAAGAGTGTCATCCAGCTGGAAGACTGAGTCCGGCGTTTCACTTGTAATCCACGTTTCTGTGAGGCAAAGCACTGCACACTTCTTCATCTCTTCTGAGGCGCCCGCTCTCAGACGACGTAAATCCACCTTGTTGTCCAACGAGCGGACATTCGACAGAAAGAGAGACGGCATGGGGAGTTTACCGGCTTTAGCGTTAGCTCGTAGCCTCACCATAACCCCCGCCCGGCATCCTCTCCTCTTAAGCCGGGAGCAGCGAAAGACGAAACGTTTCTACGTTTTTTTTTTTTTGCTTTGTTTTGTTTTTTGAATGTCCAGAGGACCAGATTTAACTTTTTTAGATTTTTCTACCTGGATTATTGAGCAGCATCAGGATATTCTAGAGAGAACATTTTGTTTTGGGCCATTATCTCGTTACAGGACTCATCCATCCATCCACCCATTCTCTTCCTCTTATCCAGGGTCGGGTCGCGGGGGTAGCAGCCTAAGTAGGGAGGCCCAGACTTCCCTCTCCCCAGCCACTTTGTCCAGCTCCTCCGGGGGAATCCCCAGGCTTTCCCAGACCAGCCGAGAAACATAGTCCCTTCAGCGTGTCCTGGGTTTCCTCCTGGTGGGACGTGTCCAGAACACCTCACCAGGGAGGCGTCCAGGAGGCATCCTAACCAGATGCCCGAGCTACCTCAACTGGCTCCTCTCGATGTGGAGAAGCAGCGGCTCTACTCCGAGTCCCTCCCGGATGATCGAGCTTCTCACCCTATCTCTAAGGGAGAGCCCAGACACCCTGTGGAGAAAACTCATTTCAGCCACTTGTATCCGTGATCTCGTTCTTTCGGTCACAACCCAAAGCTCATGACCATAGATGAGGACACTTGTTACAGGACTCATGATCTTTAATTGAGACCAGACTTTTTGACAAATGGAGCAGGTTTGATTTCATTGTACCCAGACCAGACTCACCTATGTCAGGTGCAGCTACAACCAAGGACTAAAGAGAATCTTCTTGTGTTTGACAGCAGATATAATGCTGCTTCTTACAAACCTTCAGTTTTAAAATAGAGCTGATGTAACTTATCTAAAGAGCAGCAGATACAGCTGCCAGTCAGTGTTTGTCCTCTAGAAACACCCACTTTCAGTCTGCAGAGAACCCCTTCTCATGCACCTGTCTCTAAGCCGCACTTATTAAATATAAGATAAATCATAATTTTGTAAATAAATAAGAAGCTTTGGTCTGTATCTGTGCCCAGTCTGCTCCGACTGTGCAGCTTTCTTGTTGTAGTACAAGAACCAACCACCAGATGGCATTTCACAGTCTACAGCCTAGGTCACTGAATGGCAGACTATTATCTTATTCCATTCAAAAAGTTAATCTTTAACAGATGATAGATTCAGGGCCCACAATTTAAACTATTTCAAGTATTTATTTGTTTATTTTTACATAATTTGAACTTCCAGCTCATGAAACCCACAAAAACAGGATAAAAAAAATCATAATACTGTGAAGACATCAGGCCACACTTCTCAGTTGTTGCAGAAAAAATAAATAAATTAGGATCAGAACAAATCAATCAAAATATGGTTCTTTCAAATCAATATATCAATCTTCAATAGTTGGTTGTGAATCTTTGTCTTAATCTCTGCCTCGATGGGACGTTGAGACAGTCAGTCTGTGGCGTTGACTGGGAGTTATGGAATTGAGACAATCAGCCTGTGGCATTGACTGGGAGTTATGGAATTGAGACAATCAGCCTGTGGCATTGACT